CCCCCCCCCCCCCCGGGTGGGGTGATTTCTCACTTTCTGTCTCCCTTTGTCTTTCTGGTGAGCACATGCACCCTATAACAAAATCCTCTCAAAAAAAAGGTTTTTGCTGTAGGGCGCGTGCATTCATCAGAGAGACAGAAAATGAGAAATCACCCCTCGGGGGATGACCACGCCACAGTCACTTCTCTGTTCTCCTCTTGGGATCTTGGCCACGCTCATACACATACGTGCCCAACATGAGTTTAAGCCGCCAGGTCTGGGATTCGAGTCACGGGTGACTACATGAGAGTCCAACGACGTAGCCACTACTCCATCTGGCAGACCTGCCTCGGCTTGTTGAGCGGCTGGAGCTGTGAGCGCGGCACTGTACCTGGTGTCTGGGCTGGGCGAGCACTCGAAGTCGGGCTTGCACCCAGAGTCCTGACCCGTCACTCCGTCCCCCACAGCCCCCCAAGAACACCGACCTTGGAACACTATGGTCCATCCTTGTGAAGGGGTTGCCAGGAAGTGCAGGGCCAGTGCCGAGTCACGTCTGTGGGTCATGTCTGCACAGTGATCCTGGTGGGGCCTGTGGGTTTCCTGGCGTTGGGAGCCGGGGTCAAGTGCCCACATTCCTGGAACACAAGCCTGCCTGGTCGGGGGCGTGCTGTGGAGGCAGCAGGGTGGCCAGTGGGAAGTAGCAGGCCTGTGAGGACAGACCAGAGAGAGAAGGGCTGGCCAGGGCCTCAGGCTCCAGCCCTCGTTCACCCTGGGGGAGGAGAGGAGGAGGCGGGACAGCCAGTACAGACCAGGGCTGAGCAGTGGGGAAGGAGGCGCGTGTGACGATGCAGTGCTGGCCTGGGGGCCCCGCGCCCCCTAAACCAGTCCGCGTATGTGTACTCTGTGGGGTCAGTGGCCAGCGGGCTTGCGGCGGAAACAGGACAGCCTTCCCTCTGGCCGGTGCTGTGTGTCCCCTGTCTGCCGGGAGCACCTGACGGGTAAGTGGTGCTGGCAGCCGGGACGGCTTTTCCTTCTCAGAAGAGCCTGCAGTTCCGGGCGCGCTTTCTGGTTAGGGCCCAGGAAACGTCCTGAAGGGCACGGAGCTGTCGGGTGAGTCTGCCCTTGCCACAGAGGTCCCTGCAGGGGGGACAGACTGGCAGAGAAGGGCGTGCAGTGTGAGGCCGGCTGGAAGGCCTGGGGCACTGGGAAGCACCCTGTGCTGCGCCCAGGAGCAGGCCTCGGCCACCACGGTGGGCAGCTGGCTGCTCACTCACAGCCTAGGGGCTCTGGCCGCCATCGGGGTCTTGGTGATCAGGGCCTCGCACGTTAGGATGGCCTTGCCCTCTGGGGTCTGCGTGGAGCACTGCACAGCCTGCCCTGGCTTCCTGGCTATGCCGTGCAATCCACGGGGACAGGTCTGAGGCGGACGGCCAGCACTCTCCAAGGACCCTAGGTCCAGCCTTCAGGCTTCTGCTGCCGTGCCCACGTGCCTGCTGCCCGTCCACTCATCTTTTCACCCCCCTCCTTGTTCCTCTTCCTTTTGGCTCTTGAAGCAGCTCCTCAGAGGGAGCTGGGTCCTCCCCTCTGCTGGGGACTGGCGAGGGCAGCCAGTGCCCCCGCAGGCCAGACAGGTAGCTCCCAGAGCACCAATGCCGCCTGCTACTCCCTCGGAGGGCGGCTGATGGGCACAGGTGTGCAGGAAACGGGTCCAGGAGTCCCTGGGACCGGGCAGCCCGGCCGCGTCCTGTCCCCAGGTCCACTCACTCCTCCTGGGCATGAGGGCAGTGCAGGGCCCAGGCCTCCTGGCTGTCCTGCTGAGCGGGACTGTTTCACCAAAGCAGACCGAGCTGGTGTATCATGGCGTCTGACAGTACAGACACTGGTGCTGGAGGCAGTCTGCGGTGGGGAGTGGACGCCCACTTGGTGCCAGTGGTGGGTCGGGCTGGTGAGGGCGCGCCGGCACGTCCCGAGCAGTGGGTGCGGGAGTAGCTGCCTGCTGGGCTCCCAGTCACTTGCAGGGGGAAAGGGGGAGTCTCCTAAAGGTGAGGGTTTCCTGCCCAGGCTCCCGGCCGTTGCCACAGGGTCTCGCCTTCGTGGTGTCCCCACGGCTGTCTCGGTTGTCCTTAGCGGCAGTGAGAGCGAGCCTGGCGCCGGCACCGCTTCCCAAAAGCAACTTTGACAGGCGCGAGGGCGTCGAGGTGGAGCCGTGTCCTGGAGTCCAGGCCCTGGTGTGGGGGACGCTGGCGTCCTCTGCTTGGCGCCTGGTGTCGTGTGGCCCGTGTGGCTTGCTCCCTGACGGGATGGCTGTTGCATCCAGGTGCGGTCGTGGTGGTGGCTCCGACAGCATGGGCTCCCTGAGAGGGCTGGCCGGGGTGAGGTCCTCGGGGCCCTTGGGAAGCGGTTCACGAACAAGGCGCCTGCTTCCCTGCACCGGCCATGGGAGGCTCTTGGCCCTAGCAGAGGTGCCAGGGCTCATCAGAAGCCCTGGTGGGGGTGGCCCCACCGCTGTCACCTGGGTTCTGGGCCCGAGGGTGGAGCTGTGCTGGGTTGGTCTGAGAGACTGCCCGTGCTCTGGGAGCCGAGGTGTCACTGTCCTGTGCCCAGAGGACGCCACCGCCTGGCCTGGCTCTGCTCCACGTGGGGACGGCGATGCCGACAGGCTTCATCCAACTGGGGACACTGCCAGTGACGCCTGGGCTGCTCCCCTCGGGCCTTTCTGTGGAAGCTGCAGGCCCAGGGCGCTTAGCTGGGGCTGTGGATGCGAAGCCACCTGTGGACTCTCCGGGGACCACAGGTGACAGCGGAGGCCAGTGCGGGCCCTCAGGCAGTAGGTGTCCCTCACTGGGGCCTGCGACACGAGGCTCCCTGATGGCAGGCCTCGTGGCCTCTCTTGCCCGCAGTTTGACGAAGGCCGGAACGACTTTGCGGGGGAGATCACCAAGGAGAGCCTGCTGGCCTTCCTGAAGCACAACCAGCTGCCCCTGGTCATCGAGTTCACCGAGCAGGTGCGCCCCCCGGCGGGACCCCAGTCTGCCAACGTGCCCGTGGGGCTCCGGCCTCGGGAGGAGGCCTGTCCTCGGCCTGCTTGTGGCTCAGACGGGCGGTCCGCTTTGTAACAGACAGCCCCGAAGATCTTCGGAGGCGAGATCAAGACGCACATCCTCCTGTTCCTGCCCAAGAGCGAGTCTGACTACGACGGCAAACTGCGCAGCTTCCGGGACGCAGCCGAGGGCTTCAAGGGCAAGGTGGGCCTTGGACACGGCAGCTGCAGGCGCCTCCAGGCAGCGGCGGGCGGAGGCCACCCCTGGCTGGGCACCTGCCACAGGAGCCCTGCTTGGCCGTGCCCAGGGCCCATTTCAGCCAGCCTCTGCCCCCAGATCCTGTTCATCTACATCGACAGCGAGCACGCCGACAACCAGCGCATCCTGGAGTTCTTTGGCCTGCGGAAGGAGGAGTGCCCTGCCGTGCGCCTCATCACCCTGGAGGAGGAGATGACCAAGTACAAGCCCGAGGCGGACGAGCTGACCACCGAGGCCATCACCGACTTCTGCCACCGCTTCCTCGAGGGCAAGGTCAAGGTGCGCCGGCGGGCGGCTCGGGGCTCCGGGTGTGGCACCCAGGCTCCCACGGTGGCCTCGCTCCTAGTGAGGCCCAAACCACCGCTCTGATCACGCTCAGGCCCTGCAGGAGCTCTGCGAGTGCAGCTGGCCACGCAGCTCAGGCCAGCCGGGGTGGGCGGGCCGGGCAGGTAGCTCCCAGAGTGCCAGTGGCCATTGCCAGGGTGGGCAGGCGGGGAGCCAGAGCGCCTGGGCCGGCCTGAGCGCAGCCATTACCCTCCAGCCACACCTGATGAGCCAGGAGCTGCCCGAGGACTGGGACAAGCAGCCCGTCAAGGTGCTAGTCGGCAAGAACTTCGAAGACGTGGCTTTTGATGAGAGCAAGAACGTCTTCGTGGAGTTCTGTAAGTGAAGCCTCTGGCCTGCTCTCTGCCCATCCCGCGGGCTGCTTGCCTGGCCACCGGGCCTCAGGACGCCGTCTTTCCAGATGCCCCGTGGTGCGGACACTGCAAGCAGCTGGCTCCCATCTGGGACAAGCTGGGGGAGGTGTACAAGGACCATGAGAACATCGTCATCGCCAAGATGGACTCCACGGCCAACGAGGTGGAGGCCGTCAAAGTGCACAGCTTCCCCACACTCAAGTTCTTCCCCGCCAGTGCGGACAGGACGGTGCGTCTGACCGGGCCGCGGCCTCAGTCTTCCGGGGAGCCGGGGGTAGGGCGTGGAAGGGTGTGGGCAGGCCGCAGGTGTACCTTGGAGGCCCAGGACCAGCCTCTCCTGTGCCCGCCCTCTGCCACAGGTCATTGACTACAATGGGGAGCGGACGCTGGAGGGCTTTAAGAAGTTCTTGGAGAGCGGGGGCCAGGACGGAGCTGGAGACGATGATGTAAGTGGCCCCCACGCGGGCCCAGGGCACCCCACCTGCAGGCTGAGGGCCGTGCTCCCTGAGCCCAGTCAGCGCCCCAGGGCCTACCCTCACGTGGCCTGTGACAGAGTCTGCATAGGGGTCCCCCAGGCACGTCCCTCGGGGCCCCGTGTCGGTGAGGTCCAGCATCCCCCCCAGCCTGTTGATGGGGCCTGGTCACTGGGGCGCTGGCTGGCAACTGTGGTGATGCGTGGGAGTGGGGGTGGTGACCAGAGTGACAGCTGAGCTCCTGGGGAGACCCTGGCGTGTTGTGGCCAGCGGTGGCGGTCGTGCCTGGTGGCCTGTCATCCCCGTCTCGCACCGCAGGACCTGGAGGACCTAGAAGAAGCTGACGAGCCAGACATGGAGGAGGACGATGACCAGAAGGCTGTGAAGGATGAGCTGTGACAGGAGAGCCAGCTGCGCACGGCATGGCACCTCGCAGGCTGCCGCGCTGCCCTCGGAGCCGCAGCCCCGCACTCGGGGAGGCATGGCCGGCCCAGCGCCCGCGTGGAGCCTGCCTCTCCCTTGCTTTTCAGGTTTGGAAAGGGATCGTCCCCAGGCAGGCTCATCCCAGTGGGCTGCTGTTTTTCTTTTTTTAATTGTGATGTACTTTTTTGTACACGGTTTTTGTCCGGAGTGCTCGCTAAAACATTTTGGAATCTCACGCTGGTAACGTCCCCTTTGTGGTAGAGAGACCTACACAATCGCTTAAAAAGATTCCCTCTGGGACTCCTAGACAGTTCTCAACATCAGGGTATCCCGGCCTCCCTGGAGACTTGTGTCCCCGTAGGGGAGGAGCAGGGCCAGGCCGGACGCAGCCACCATCCACCTCGTGCCAGGGCTGCCGCGGTGGGGCAGTCCTGCATTTCTTGGTTAAATGGAGCCTTCTGGATCATGCCAGGGTGCGCTCCAATCAGGAGGGGGTGTGGTGGATGGTGGCCCGAGGCAGGCTAGGCCTGGCACCTCTTCCGTCCCCACGCCCGAACCCCTCGTCCCATCGGTGAGTTGGCCTGGAGCTGCGTGGCCTCCACGGGACCCAGTCCCACAGCAGGAAGGAGGCCAGGGCTCTGGGCCGAACGCACGCTGTCTTCCAGCGTTCCCACCACGACATTGGAATCCAACACATTGGCCAAATAAAGTTGAAATTTTACTATCTGTTGTCGCGTTCACTTCACAAGTCGTCCAAGGCCCCAGGACATGGGTGTTCTGACCTGAACAGGCAAGGTAGGCCTTGGGGGTCACAGACCCTGGCTTGCCAGGTGGGCGTGTGGTGATGGGGCCATGAGCTCCGGGTATCAGCGTCATTGGGTGTCACGCACTGTGTCACCATCCCAGATGGGGAGCAGCTGGCCACAGGTGGCCTCCCACCACAATGTGCCAGCGAGAGGTCAGGTGGCCAAGGAAGGGTCAGAGGAACCACTGCCTTATTGACAAGCTGTGTAACGCCCTGGTGCCGACACCCATGTCTCGGGTTTTGTAATGTCCCTGTTCTCGCCTTGGCCCAGCCGCGGGCACTGCTGCGCCGTGGCTGAGGCCAAAACACAAGCTGGGTTCAGTTGGGTTTAGTTCCGCCCAACCTGAGCAGGCCAGTTTGGTGGCCCCAGCTGGCAGGAGGGTGGCCATGCGGCTGGACCCTGTCAGAAATGGCTGCCTCCAGGCATCAGTTCAGATCCACTATTGGCAAGAAAATACCAGAGCATAGGCCCAAGTCCTGAGCTGCTGGAGGGCTGGGGCAGGGAGCCAGCACAGACCTTACTGAAGGGCCTCATTAAAATTTAGTGGGGTGGACCAGCAGGTGGCATGGTGGCTAAGGTGCTGGGCATTCCCACATGGCAGATCACGGTTCAAGTCCTAGACCTGGTGGTTTGCTTTCTCACTTTCTCTGTCTCTCTCTGGTCAAATTAAAATAAATGAACGAATAAATTAAATAATTATTTAAAAAAATAAAAAAGGAATCACTAAAAAAATTTAGTGGGGCTGCCAGGTGGCGTGATGGTTATGGGTGCTGGGCTCTGACATGGCCAGCCATGGTTCAAGTCCTGGACCTGGCTGCTTGCTTTCTCACTTTTCCTCTCTCTTGCTCTCATACTGTCCCTCTCTGGTCAAATTAAAACTAAGCATATTGGGACCAGCAGTTGGCGTAATGGCTACATCACTGGACTCCCATGTAGTTGACTGCGGTTTGAGTGCCAGACCTGGTGGCTTAAACTCATGGTGGACACCTGTGTGTGCGTGCCCAAGATCCCAAGAGGAGAATGGAGAAGGGATTGCGGCATGGCCATCCCCCCTGGGGCGCTTTCCTGCTCTGGCTCTCTGTCTTTCTGGCGAGTGCACGCGCCCCATTGCAAAAACCTCTGAAAAAGAAAACGACACAGGACACATGTGCACGTATGCTGGAGACCCTGGAAGGAGGGGGAGATGGAGGAGAAAGGAGTGTGACCTGACCGCGTCCCACAGCAGGGTGCTTTCTCTCTCCCCCTCTGGGAAGTGCTTTCAGGAAAAGTTAAAAACAAAAATCTGCTTATGGCCGGCACAGACAGCCAGTTAGACCTAGGTTCCGGTCTGGAAGCCTGGCGTGCTAAGGTGGACATGCCTCCCACCTGCATCTGCCCAACTCCGCAGGCCTGGCAGCCCCAGGGTCCCTGCCGGGTCTGTGGGCCCCTCTGATGGTAGGAGTGGAGCCTGGGGGCTGGCAGGGCTCAGGTGGTCATCAGCCCTGCAAGTGGGCGTGGGGGTGCAGAGTAGAGGCGGAGAGGTCACCCCCCTTGGCAGTGGCTCTGAGTCTCCGGTGCCCAGACCCCCCAACCCTGCATGTGTTCACTTGTGTCCTGGCACAGGGTCAAGCCGGGTCCCCTTCCTGACGTCAAAGGCTGGGCTCTGGCGAGCTGATGGATCTGCTGGTGCCAGACTCAGCTGTCCAGCCACCATGGGGCCGGCCCAGCGGTTCTCTGTATGGAGGCGGGGCAGGCATCTCCCCCCGGACTGCCCAGCCCTGCCAGGTGGCTCCCACCCCTGGAGCACAGTGCAGGTTGCAGCCAGCGAGCCAGGAGCCCTGAGCCAGCTGGGCAGCCGCTCTGACCACAGCCTGTCCTCCCTTGCCGGCTTGCAGGTGGCCCTGTCACGGCTGGTTTCTGGCTAGTTCGGCTCCCAGAGCCTTAGCAGAATTTGTGTGGCCAGCCTGGGCCCTGCCAGCACAGCGGAGGATGAGCGTCCCAGAGATGCGAGCACAGCCCTGGAGGTGGCAGAGCATTAGTCTCCTGGGGTGGGAGCCGGACCTGTAGCCGAGGCATGGGGTCTGCGGGCAGCAGGGCTGTGTGTGGCCACAGTGAGGAGGGCGGGGCCAGGTCTGAGTCTGCTTGCCACCTGGGGACCACCCAGCCGTGCGGGGACTCGGTAGAGCAGGGCCCAGGCACAGCTGAGCGGCGTAGTGGTCAGGCGCTGCTGCTGGCACCTGCTCGCAGTCCGCCTTTCGCAGAGGCACATTCCCGGCCTGGGCTGCTGGTGCCGTGAGGCGGCGTGAGCCTTCGGCTGGGCTGGAGGGCCAGCAAGGTGGCTTTGAAGGCCGCGGGGTGGTAGTTGAGCTTCAGCAGCTGGGACTTCCCAGCCTCACTCCTCCCTCTCTGGGTGGCTGGACGCCACTGGTCCAGCCTGACACCACACCCTGGGGACCCCTGGCTTCAGAGCCTGCCTGGGAGGGAAGAACCTTCCAATGTCCCAGGCCACTCCTCCTAGCAGGCTTTTGGCTGCGGACTCGGTGCAGAGGGCAGGGCAGAGCACGCACGGCAGGTTACAGTTGTCACTTTTTTTAAAGGTTTTTGCCATAGGGCCATAGCTCACTGGAGAGAGACAGAGACAGACAGTGAGAGGGAAAGTGAGAGGTCCCTACACAGGGCAGGGATGGGGGTGTCGCTAATGCAAATCCCTCTCCTCCATTATCCTCCAGGAATTTGGGGGACACATGCACACACACACCCACTGTGACTCTCAAATTTGCCTGGTCCAGGACTTGAACCACAGCCACGTGAGATTCAGCACCTTAACCACCGCACCACACCACACCACGTCTGGCCCACTGTCACACTGGAAAGCTGGATGATAAACTGCATAAAATGTTTCTGTCTGGGCCAGCCCAGTGATGTGGTTAAGGTGGCCGAGTCCCACATGCCGACTGCAGTTCAAGCCCTGGAACAGCGGCCTGGCATGCCAGGCACGAGTGCATGTGCCCAGGTCCCCGAGGGAGAGTGCGGGAGGCAGGACTGCGGCATGGCCATCATCCTCAGACGCAAGCTCACCTTCCCCTCTCCCTGTCTCTCCAGCAAACACACATGCCCTGTAGCAAAATTTTAAAAAGTTTCCGTTCTCCAGAAAGTAGGGACTTAGACTACTGCAAACCGAGTCACATCGTAAGTCCACAGGGACTGAGACACACCAGGCACCACTGCCTACACCCAGCTGTGTGGCGGCTCCCGGGGCTGCTGTCCCAGCAGGGGCTGCCGCGGTGCTGTGGCTGGCTTCTGAGGGCCAGGGCACAGGCGACCCTTCCGGTGGTGCCTGTGGCTGCCACATTCCTGTGAGATGAAGGCACACCTCGCCTTTTAGGGGGCTGGTTGTAACAGGGAGGCTTCAGGGCCAGTCCCTTCTCTGCGCCAGGGGGAACCCCCAAAGCCAAAGAAGGCCAAGCTCTCCTGGCACCCCTATGGCAGGATGGTGCAGCCCGACAGGCTCAGTCCATGGGCGGGCTCGCCTGACTGCCTCCGGCCCAGGGCCTGGGGTCTTTGAGGCCTCCTGGTCACGCCGTGGGTGGCAGCTCCCCCACACGTTCCATCTGACCCTCTGAGCCAGGAGGGCAGAGAGAGAGAACTTTCCGCAACCTGAGAAGAGGCAGTCTTCACCAAGAGGGAGGGCAGAACCTCCTGCCTGCAGGGCCGATGCTCAGCTTGGGGCTCCTGCAAACACGCACAGCGCCTGTGCCAGCCCTTCCTGCTCAGAGTCACGACTGACGGCAGCACCCATGTCTGGAAAATGCAGGGTCCAGGTCTGGCTGGGGATCGCAGGGCTTGCCTGCATTCCGCAGGGACACACCTGAGTCTGCTGGGCTGGCTGCGGGCCTGGGTCGGCAAGGCCTGTGGGCTGAGCAGCTAAAGAAGCCCATCCGGCAGGGAGCCCGCTCAGAGCTGCTGCTGCAGCACGTGGCACGGCTGTGTACCTCGAGGGCAGCGGCGACTGACACACTTGTCGACCCAAGTGTGCTGGATGGAGACCAGCCCAGGGACGCGAGGCCGTGGTGCCGAGGCCTGCCCTGGCTCTCTGTCCTGCAATGAGCCATATCCAGTCTCGGCCTCTCCTCACTCAGGCCTCCAGTAACTACCAAGAAGACCATGCCAGTGCTGCAGGCTGAGCTGTGGGCCCACCCCGTCCCTGTGCATGCAGAGGTGCTGAGTCCTGGTACCCCGGAACGTGACCTGGCATGGAGGAGTCAGGGCGAGGGCACGCGGAGGGGTGGCCCCACTTCAGCAAACAGGGTGGAAGGGGAGACTGGGCTCAGGGAGATCCCCACGTGAGGACAAAGGCAGAGACCAGGGTGACGCTTCCATAAAGCCTAGGACGCCAAGGGTCGCACAAACCTCTAGAGCCAGAGCGAGGCCTGACGTGCACTCTCTCTCGTCCCCAGTAGGAGCCTGGTCTGCCACACCTCGGCCTCCGCCCCCTGCCCCGTCAGTGCACTTCGTCATGGGGCTCCCCAGGCCCCGCTTGCCTGGGACCCGCTTTTCCAAACCCCTTGCAGCCTCCCAGAAGCAGACGGAGCACACGCCCGGCTGTGGTGCTCTCACCACTGGGGGCACGTAGAGCCCGCCGTAGGTGTGAGCACAGGCACCATAGACGCGAAGTCCATGTGCAGGAGGTGTAGGAGGTGGGGATGGAGCTGTGGGCAGACTCCAGCCTGGGATCCTGAGGTGGAGGGAAGACTGCGGGGGGTGGGTGGGGGTCGTGCCCTCTCCCCCAGGGCATGAGCCCATGCTTCCAGCTTCCCAGGTGGGCGACGCTGGCTTCCCCTTCCCGGAGGTAGGCGGTGGGCCGTGCTCAGACACAGGGCCCTCTCGATGCCCATAGGGCCTGCTTGCCCTTGAGCCGACATCGCTGGCCGTCCTCATGGGCTCCGACCTCTGGAGCCTCCTCCTGCCCACCGTCATCCACCTTCTAGACCCAGCTGCGGGGCAGGGAATGGTGGCCAGGAAGGATCTGACCCTCTGGCCGGCACGGTGACAGGTGGGCTGTAAGATGATCCGCTAACATGATCCCGAGACCGGGGAGGACCGGGGAGGACCGGGGAGGGCAGCTCGGTTTCAGCGCCCGCTCCGGAGGGCATGACTGTGCAGCTTTATATAGCCCCGCGGGCCGATATAAGCAGACGGCGACTCTGTCAGACAGAGGAGCCGGCTCGCTGACCTGGTCTGGCTGGGCACATTCCTCACCCCTGCACAGCAGGGTCCCCGGAGACGCAGATGCCCAGCAGAACGGCCCGCTACAGCCGCTACAGGCCCCGGCAGCGGCGTCGGCGCCGGCCGTCCG